TAGTTGTGTGTTTCGTTTGTTTTTTTGTGGTGTGGGGGGGGGGGGGGGGGGGGGGGGGTGTCTCAGTTTTTTCATTTGTTTTTTACAATGTAGTTAAACCACGAAGCAGCCTGCTGACCTATCCCAAGGCCGCAGGTCAAAGCGCTTGGCAGGGAAGCGTGATTTGCCCTCATTGCGTGTATGGCCGCTCATTAAGGTCACATTTGACAGGCGCCCTTCAGTCCTTCGCTGCAACTGCCAGGCTGGTCCGGGGTCCCTCGCGTGATCACCCCGGGAGGGCACAACGCCCCACGCAGACGCTCCGTGAGCCCCCCGAGGTCCCGATGAAGCTGTGCACAGCACACACACTGCCAGGGAAATTTATCTGCTCTGGTCTCCATTCATTTTCTCACGTTATTCACGAAGGCCTGCTGCCCTTGCAGTCAGCGTGGCCGGTGGCGAGAGCTCTGTGCCTATTGTGATGAACAAGCTGGGGGCAGAGTCCTCTCGCATCCCTGTCGAGCCTCTACAAAACACAGCTCGAGGCCAGAATGGGCATCTACTTAACAACGTGTACGGAGCAGGCCTGAAGAAGTAAGCTAACAAAATGATTTAAGGTGCAAACTTAAACCCTACAGAAAAGGCAGCACAAGAAATTGTGTCAAACACTGAAACTTTCTTGAATAAATAAACCTTGAATGACCTACCAGAGGAACCCAGTATGTGTAAAGGGCACCAAGCCTCATTTCAACGACAAACTGAGAGCAGGCCAGAAGCAGGAAATAAAGGTTGAAGAAGTATTTGAACTGGTTAAACAGCACCTAAAAACAGAAAAAAAAAAGAGGAGGGAGGAGATTAACGGAGTTTGAAGTTATGCATATTGAACTAACTACCAGAAACCTTTCTGCATGCTCCTCTAGTGTCTAAATGCTAACTTAGGGCAGTGTGACAGCAGATCTGTCCTGAGTGTCCAGGACTGTGTCTGGTTTGCTGCTGCCCTAAGGCAGCCTTTGCTGGAGGCTCACCAAACACAACCCAAACATTAACAGTTTCCTCTGGCTCAAGATTCTACATCTACCTACTGTAAAATCACTGAAGTTGGGGAAAGCATTGGGGTGGGATGATGAAAAGCGTCTTTATTCACACTTACCCCAGGGAGAAACGTAAAAAAGTTGTATTTCTGATTGTTGATCACATTGCGAGGGTATCTCTGGTCTCTCTTCTCCGGATGGCCAAGCCAAACAGTACGAGGCCTTGGGTCTCTCCTCCCACAGCATCTTAAGCACTCACAACACCTACAGAAGGAACATTCATTAATGAGTTAAATTTTTAATACATTTCTCTGACTCACACACGCGCACCCCAGACCCTCTCTGCCAGAAGAGCTTAGCATTGCTTCTTCATTTGCTGGAGTTGCTGGAGCGTGTCCAGAGAAGGGCAACAAGGCTGGTGAAGGGTCTGGGGCACAAGCCTTATGAGGAGCGGCTGAGGGAACTGCGGCTGTTTAGTCTGGAGAACAGGAGGCTGAGGGGGGACCTTACTGCTCTCTACAACTACCTGAAAGGAGGGTGCAGTGAGGCAGGTGTTGGTCTCTTCTCCCAGGTAACTAGCGATAGGACTAGAGGCAATGGCCTCAAGTTGCATCAGGGGAGGTTTAGATTGAACATTAGGAAAAATTTCTTTACTGAAAGAGTGGTCAGACATTGGAATAGGCTGCCCAGGGAAGTGGTTGAATCACCATCCCTGGAGGTGTTCAAAAAACATGTAGATGTGGCACTTTGGGACACGGTTTAGCAGGCATGGTGGTGTTGGGTGACAGTTGGACTTGATGATCTTAGAGGTCTTTTCCAACCTTAATGATTCTATGATCTGTCACTCACCACCTCTCATCTGTCAATTATCCACTGTACTACAAGCATCTTAAGACCCAGGGCTTGACTTTCTACCAAATACAGATGCTCCGCCTGCCACAGACCCTGCACACCTGCCTTGCAGTCTGCCGAGCTACGAGCCAACACCTTGTACGGTGTTGGAGTTCTTGCTAAAACATCACGCAACCCCATGTTCAAAGCTGGGCAGGCCTGCAGCAATGCTGGAAACGTGCCTGCAGCAACGAGGGCTGGGGAGGCTCCTCGCTTGACTTTCACGAGACCGATGCCTGGAGAAGCATGGCCCAAGGTCATCATGGCACAGAGTCAGTGCCGGCTGCTGGGAGAGCCTCTGCTGCCCGAGAATGGATGGGCTTCGGGAAGCAGGGAGGTCGGGGGGTACAGGCGGAAAGGTCCCCTTGCACTGATCCTGCATTGCAGGTGTTATGCTAGAAAGCTCCCATGAATAAAACAGTAACAGGTGCTTTCTATTACTGTTTCTGTTTCCTTGTTGGTGTATGGAAACTTCCTGAAGCAAAAGGGGGCTTTCCCATGTACGAACTGAACATAAACAGGAATGCATATATGTAAAATGATCTCATACATCCTATAGAGAAGAGATGGAGACAGACAGAGATCCTCCTCCTTCCCTGCAACCCCTGCTTCACAGAAATTTATACCTTTTTAAGAGAAGGGTTTAATATTTGCATATTTGGATTTTTGCACTTTAAAACAGCCTTGCCAAGGAATAATAATCTATAATCCTCTAAAAATAAAACCTTAAAAGGAAACTGAAAATAGATACTCAATGATTAATGATTTTATTTTTACACAGTATCATAGTCACTAGCTCTGTTTACATTAATAGCAAATTGTATGTTAGCTACTAACAAGTAACACGCATTCTCATCGACTGAGCACACGCACTGCAGACCCAGCCACGCAGTCTCAGTTTGTCAGTCTAGCTGTACTAATTGGCATACTCACCTCTTCAGGCACAGCCCCACTGCAGCCCCACCGCAGAGGCTGCAAGCTCGAGCAGCCCAGCCCAGCCCGGGACCCAGCGCCACAAACCCCAGCTGCCAGAGCAGCGGCTGCAGGCATTCAAGTTCAACCTATTTTCAATCCGACTAGACCGATATAACTTCTGCTCTAATTTTTTTCCTGCATTTTTGTCTACTTTGAGAGCTGTATCTGTTCTTGTTCCATTAAATATTGTCAGCTTTCAATTACCCAGCACAACAATTACTCTTTATATCTTGCAATACCAATTTTCCAAAAATTATTCAAAATAAATAAAAATATGAACCTGTGTCAGCACACTGATTTTTTTACTTTTTCAACTCAGGCTTATCATTAAAGCCTTTTACATAACATCATTTTTGGCCTTTGCCAAAAGTTACGTGGGAACACAGGAAAGCCACACCAACTTCACTAAAACTTTAGTAACCGTATCAGTTCTAACTTCTCTAGAAAAATGTGGAGGACTAACATGCAATTTGTGAAGCAACGGTAACACAAGAGAATTACAACTTTCTTTCCATGGGACCTGCAACCTGGCTGCCGTGGCCAGCAAAAAGTCAGCTCTCACATGAATTTTAGTGAATAAAACCGTGCACTGCTCAATGTAAAGAATCATTGCTTGAGGCAATGAAAAAAACAGAGCGTTGGTTACTTTGTGGGAGATGCAAGGACTTACCAGCGACCCCTCGTGCACCTTGAAAAAGCTTCTCTGTTCAAAATTGCAGTATTGTACCCTCGCAAAGCCCAAAAGGGTTATTTTTGTTATTTTTCTGTTGCCACGGCTTCTCAGTGAAAGCCAATTTCTTCCCAATCCCCCTGGCTCCTTTAAACACAGACCTATTGATTTCACTGACATCTGGGACACCCAGTATCGCCTGGATTGATAACCAAAAGCTTCAGAGCGCTTACAAACATCTTTCCAAAAACCACCACTAAGATCTGTTCTCGGATCACAGCACTCTGCCACAAAAGTTCAGTTAAATACACACCTAACCGAAAGAAATAACTATTTAAGGAAGTACACAAAGCATTTGGCTCGTGAAGTCCCTGTCTTGCCAGACGATACACGCAGTGCGATGAACAGAGTTTACAACTCACCATGCAAAAGGCGGTTTCCTACCAAGATACTATTTTTTGATGTTTTATGACCTGCTGGATGCAAATAAACAGAAAGAAGTGAGATCAGTTAAGTCAGATCCTTCAGCAGATAAGAGGAATAAAAACCAATTTTGCTTCCAGAAGTAGAGAAAAGCTGTTGCCACGCGGTTCAGTGCTCATGAGCAGGCATAGACATCAACTCCACAAGGCTGACTTGCGAGATAATGTCTCACAAGCTCTTAAAACCAGACAAAATGATTTTTGCATAATCAAATTACTTTGATGCTATAATATTTCATGAAGAGTGGCAAACAAGCCCTGAAAAGGCAGATTTTCTCTAGTCTGTGCTCAAGACCAAGCGCAGCCGTATGCGTGCGGGTGCCACCCAAACACAGGAGAGAAGGTTCTCTCGCTCGTGGCCGCTTTCAGACCGAAATGCTGACAAGCCAGCAGAGCACTGCACAGCACCCACGCATCGCTGCTGAAGGAACATGAAATCACAAGTTTTGGATGGTGCCAAACAGCCTCTTACCAGCTCCAGGCAAGTCAAACTCCCCATTCCACAGCCAGAGGACTTGTCAAGTCCTCCAATTTCAGCAACAGTCCCACTGCTTTCACCCCCGCACACGTCTCGCTGACCGTGCAGAGGTCAGCCTTATCAAAGCCTCTGTAGTTGTCAACTCTGACTTGCAAACTGTTCACTTGCTGAATAACAGAAAATTAGGAGTATGCAGGAAAACCTGACAGAAATAAACATAGTGGGTGATGCAAACAGTTCAAAACTCTGATAGCAAAGCGCTCCTAGGTCAAATCACTGGAATAAAATAATTGGGGATGCTTTACTGTTCAAGCATATACAAGAGGCATCAGATTACCCACAGACTTAGAGCACCACTACTGCCATCTCTGCTTAGCTTTAGACATTATCTATTATTATTATTTCTATCTTATCATTGCCTGTTATCCTGCATTTGTAACATTCCTAAGACAACAGATTTCCATCTTTGACTATTCCTCATGTAGTAACATAAAACCATAATTAACATAAGTACCCTAAATGTAACCCACTTGTACTTGCCCCTGAAATTATCAGTTTTTGTTAGAGCTACAAACTTTATTTTTTCCTGTTAAGAAAAACTAACTGGTAGATTTTTCTTGCCCACACAGTTGTGTACAATACCGACATCTGAAAGGCAGCTACCAACACGAGACAAGCAGTAAAGCTGGTGTTAAACACTCAAATTCACAAGCTCTACTTCAGAAGTATATTTTAGTGGCTTGATACCTTTTAATTGCTGTTTTCTTCTGTCTTTGTAGATGAAGACCTAAGACAAATAGTCACTTGTATTGCAAATACGTTTTAATGGAAAATGGTGAAAATTGTATTTGGATTGCAATGGAAAACAGATATGCTCTACGAAGAAATGTAAAAAAAAAAAAAGGAAAAAAGTTGTTTTCCTTCTTTCAGGATGCAGAAAACCACACAAGATTAGCCTTGATCCCATGTTTTAATGACTGTGAATTCAGAATGACCTCTGTGATATGGCTCCAAATAGGAGGCTTTGCCCAAGGAAGCAAACCTGGTGTCCACACACTCCATTTCATCACAACATGCTTCTCAGTTACAGAGAGAGTCAGTTGGTCCTTGTAATCAGACATCTGAAACCAGTTACCTTTGTTTATTTTTTAGGTTGGGCCTCTTCTAGGGGTTGTACTCAACAGCAGAAATACCTACTCACCTATATCATAATATTTACAATAGCATAAGACCCAAAGACAGTACTACCATAATTTAATATATTTTTCACTCGTGCTGGGAATTCTTTTTTTTTTTTTTACAAAGTAAAATTCCAATACGCTCCCAAGAACTTTCCAAGTATCTGGGCAGATCTTCAAACCGATATCTAAATCTCCAAAGGAGATTTCCAGACATTTTAATAAGTTCAATTGCTTAACAGCATTTTTTCTTCACGAACATATAAGAAAACGGCAAATGAACCCCACAGACTAATCAGAACATTTTACATCAAGAAGAATACGCTCTGCCTGACTGTTTACATACAATTATATTACTTTTAGTCTTTTCTTTTCCAAATTACTGTGAATTCACTAGTCTGGGAATGCTAACACGCAGCACTGCAAAATTGCTTACACTTGCATGGTTCTAAATGAGACGGTGGTCCCCAATACTGAAAGCACCCACAAAGGCAGGGAAGTAGAAGGCAATTGCACAAAAGTGAAATTACCCCAAATTTAGTACACGTTCTGCAAAGCCATGACCTCTCATAGCATTCCCACCAAAAAGATACTCGTTGCTGTAAGAATTTTAATTTACAAATGCTGTGTTACTATAAGGTTTGAGAATCAATCTAACAACAACGCAGTTCCAAGTACAAGCAAGAAAGGGCACGGAAGAATCTGCTGTGTAAAAGTAACAGTTTTGTGAAATTCCTGCCTGGCTAGTCACAGTTTTCGCAACCTCCTGCATTACAGCGAAAGCAAACTGAAAACCTAATTAGAGAAAAAAAAGTCAAACTTCCTGCCTAGCAAGTTTCTGAAGGCAATTATCAGTAGTATCAATGCTCACGTAAAGAATATCCAGCATTTCTACGAAGTCTCCTACAGAGCCTTTTAGCATGAGGTTTCTACGCAACGTAAAGGAATTCATTTAAAAAAAAAAAAAAGGAAATGAAGGCAATACTCCAACCAGCTGTACCAGAGCGGCACGTTGCAACATTTCAGCTGGGGAGGTTTAGCAGGGCTGAGGAATCCCAGGACGTCACCGCCTCAAGGCCTCCCCCCAAGTGTGCAGTGCTCAGCCTGCGGCTGAAAATCCTGAAAAGCAGCAAACGCTGATCTTTATCCGATATACACTCAAAGATCCCCAAAGAGTTTCTGTTAGGAACGCACCCAGTCAACCCCAGTGCTGGCATTTAACTCCTCCCTATTCTGCGACCGTGTTTTTCCCTCTTGTCCCACCAAGCCCCCAGCCCAAACCCCGGGCTAGTCGGAATGGTAAGCTGCGACGGTTATCTCTGCACACTAATTGCGCAAGTGCCAGCCCGTGGCTTGTCGAAGTAAGTTGGAAAAGGAGCTTTTGGTAAGAGCAGAGACACTTCTCAAGCACAGAACCATGTGTCCATTCTTACAGGCATATGTTTATCACCCCCCAAAGATATCCCATTGCCACGATT